TAATGTCAGGGCTTCTGACACCAGGCAGTCTTTTCTATGTGTTTGCCGACACAATAACAATTCCTTAATAATAAAAGGGGCGAGCGAAGTAAGTTAAACTAATTTATTTGTCCCTTACTTTGGTACAGTGATGGTTGTACAATGTTAAAATTAGAGGTTCTGATTAAGTGAAGGTCTAAACTGCAACTGACTGATTGACTGACTTGAGTATGTTTTTAAATATACAACTGTTTTTACCCCCAAGATGCTTTTAGACATTTTTTACTTACGGTATTCGTTGAGACATAGAAAAATAAGGTTGAGAAGTGAAACTGCAATAAATCTATCAATAATGAATTTTGAAACTGAAATGGATATGTAAAAGAATCTTGAGTTTTCTCACAAGCGATAAACTAGAGGTTTTAAGTACACAGATGACAGAAACAAGCGAACAGCAATAGAATGAAATATGAGAAAAGGGGTGATTTTAAGCTAGACCAGGCTACAAATTAATGACACAAAAAAATGGAAAACGAAATGAATACAAGTTACAAGAAATATGATATAAGGTTAAGATTAGTGTTATTTGAAAGAAGTTATTGAAAAGTGCACTTTTAACATTAGATACATAACTTTGGTATTAAATAACATGGACCAGTGATAAAATATGAGAGGTATCTAACAGTTGATTACAACCCGTTTATAAATTGAGCATTGCTTTATCAAGGGCTCCGTCATGGAAATCGAGTTTTGGCAATTTTCCCCGCCATTTCCGAATTTCCTTCCACAACCAGCCTTGGTTTTTAGATGTTTCCTTTTACTTGTGCTATAAGTTATTGCTTATTGCCAAAATACATGATTCTAGAATCTACTTAACCGAAAAGTACTCTATAGGTTTTAATTCCCTTGATTTTTTTTTCACAATTCCGAGGGATTGCACTCATAAAAAAAACTGGTGGGGATTTTTAACACTTATAGCCAAGTGATTAAGAAACCCGGTATCAAATCATAACTCCCTTTCAATGCTTCAATTCTAAACTAATACTATCGCAAAAAAAGTTCAAAGGACTTTTCTAATCCATTGCACCAAAGTATGTAGTAGTACTTATGTTGTAACACTAGTTTGGCTTATTATCTTCACAGATAGATGAATACAGAGTGAACAGTTTTTGTAGGTGGGCACATATTTTTTCTTTAAAATCATTAAAAGGTATCGAACTACGTATAATGACGCTAGGTACCAAATTCTGCAAATACAGAGTGTCTCACGGTGACCAGAATATTTCGGAAACTACTTCGATTCGAATTTCGAAAATTTGGACAATACCGTTATTGGGTATGCTCTTCTCAATTAAAATAACGGCGTCTATGTAGCACTTCCGGTTATACCCGAAGCTGATACCAACTTCGTTATTTTAAATCGAACACCCTGTATACATATTATGACGGTTTTGAATTCTACTTACGATTTTAGGTAGATTTTTATAATGCTTTTCTACTTCTAAAATTTATCGCTTTCGAGATATTAATTTCTTAAAAAAAAGTATCACAGAACAGTGGATTGCGAAAAAGCATGCCTATTTTACAGTAAAAAAGTTGAAGCAACCATATTCCCAGGAAAGGTAGCTAGCCATAGCCTCAACCTTCCCGTCCATATTTTCAAAGTGGGTTTTAATACCCTTGATTTTTTTTTTTCACAACTGCAGACCTGAAGTATTTGACATTAATTTCAACTTGATACCTCCAAGCGTTCCTGCGAAAAAGGCCTTGACAGGTAAACATGCAGATAGACGGACTACGAAGTACGAACCTTTAAAAAAATACTGGAAGTGATCGACAGTGCTACGGATACCGGAAATTTGATAAGATTCTACTTTGGAATACGTTGTGGAGAATACTGTCATGCGTTGTGGTGCTATTATGTGGCTATGGGTTGCGGACAGTGTCCATGCCGGCTACCGTAAATAAGGGTGGTGAAAACGTTGTACAGCCGTGGTGCTATTCGGGGTCCCATTACGGATCGGTTGGTTATAGCCCATTCAATTTGCTGCGGAGCAAACACGTAACGTTGTTATTGGCCTCGTAATATTTGCGGCTCGTTATCATCAGCAAGCAACTTGGTCTTCTTTTAACTGGCGATGAACGGTTTATGAGGTCTGATAGGGACAGCGCTACCGGCCACGCTTGCTGCCCGCCAGTATCTCGCTTCGTACCTTCTGCATTCTACGTTAAAAAATGCCGCGCGTGAGAAACATCATGACCTAACTGGTTGTTTACTGATCCATTCAGCTTCGCTATCTCTTATCTAGATCGCCATGAAGTTTATCTAAACTGAGGATAAAAGGGCGCAATTTGTTAATAAACTCCAGCTTAGCCTTTGCCACTACAGCCATTAATCGCTCAGCGCAAAAATATCCAGCCTTTGTCGCAAAACTTTTCACGGACAACAGCAAACGGCACGCCTCGACACTCATTATTATTAATTTTTTTAAACGCGAACAACATCACTGAGCATTATCCCTAATGACATCGTTCTAGCGAAACAGATTCGTCCTCAATGTTTTACTAGACTCTTCATTTATTTCGACTGACTCGTTAGACAGCCAGCAATCATTTGCCTGCAAGGTTAATTTGATGCCATTTGTGCATAAACAATTTATATTATTCAAACGCAGCGACATAAGCCTTTCTTTTAAACTCACTTAACTACTTCTTTCAGCTAGAGTTGCCATGTGTAAAGGGGCTCTCAAAACCCCCCCCCCCCCAGTAAATTTAATTTTAATGCATTTAATATATGACTTCTGATACCGATTGTATGACGGTAACCCTGGGCCCCAGGTACCTCGAAGGCCTTCAAAATTGGGCTTATTTATATAATTATTGACCGAGTTTTTCTTATATCAAGTTTGCAATGCTCTTATAAGACTCCACTTTTTTTATGCACTGACGCATTTTTGAAGATGAATTGATCACAAAGTTTGTAGGCGGTCTCATGAATCGAATGCAGAAAACTGCATGTCTTACTGCACAAAAATTAGAGGGTTTGGACTATTTTTGTGCATTATTTCCTCGACTCATAGTGTTATAATACATTCCTTCCTCCTTCAAATGATTCGACCAGACTTCAACTGAACTGCTTTATTGAAGAACTTAGAATGATGATATAAAAGAACAATACAATTTTTGAACAGCGTTTCAAGGACAATATATATGCCGTGTGCACACTTTTACAATATACAGGTCTGCAGAGAGTCTAAACAATAACCCGATTAATTCTGCGAAATGCCGATAAGTAATCCCGCCGACCTGTACATTGCTCACATCTATTACATGTGTGCCAAAACAACATTAACAATAATATTACAAAAGAAATACAGTTCACTACATAAAAAAAATACAACAATAGTTGAGCTCAATAATCCTGGTAACCACGAAAGTGTCCTAATCGCGTAACTTACTGGATCGTAATTAAACAACCCCTTAAAACCCAAAATTCCACAAAACGTTTAGAAACGTAAAACAGTCTCTAACTAAATAAAACATATATTTAACGCCTATATATGAATATGTAAATGGAATAACAGATGCGAATGCAATAGGTACGTCCAGAAAGTTCAATAATTGAAAAGAGTTACAAATTTTGGAAAAAAACATAAGATTCCAAAGAGGAGTACATTTCTGCTACAAAACAAAGAACAAAACAGTTATTAGCGTGCTACAAGAAAATTTTGCGTATTGATGCGTGAGAAAAATTAGTTATCGTTAGTTTTTATGAACCCTTCTTCTAAGTCAAAATAACTTCGGTTTTATGCTTTTGCATTTCTTAATAATATCTATAATTCGTTTTATCTATGATTTTATTGCATATTTTTCTTCTAAATTATTGTTTTCTTTACCTTCCGGTCCCATAGTTTCTATAAGTTTGGGCTGTTATTGTATACCGTATTCCAGTGCGGGTTTTACATTATAAACTGTTTCCTCGACTCGAATTTCTGTTAATTTTCATCGGAAAAATCAACGACTTATTATAAAAATTACCATAAATTTTTACTGCATCACTCAATAATCATTAACAGGAAAAAAAGCGGTTACATTAGGACACTAACAAAGAAAAAAAAATAACATAACACCAATTAATGTGTAACAGAAAGAGATGCAGACAAGTGAAATTTGAGCGTGCAGCCAACATCGGACTTTAAATTCCAACATTCTCAGAAATTTAGGAAAATAAAGACTCTAAAGACGCATTTCCTAACATAATAACAAAACGCAGATAATGACTATAATCTCAAGTGGAAACAAGAAAGAAGATACATCCATTCGTACCTACACATAATGTCAATTTTAATTGTCCCAACTATAAAAATTGTGATAGTAGGTAGTGAGGTTCGAATTAGGAAAGTTCAACGTAATAATGCATACATATAATCATTTAATATTCCTAATTGTAAGTAAAAGTTTTAATTACACCAACAATTTACACGAATTACCTACGTAATGAGGATTGCAAAATGTGACTGTCTACTAAGTTTCACAAGCTTTTTAATTGATTATCGGTGAAAATGCTTACTTCCAAAGTTCCTACGTTTACCTAATCGTTTTAAATACGGAGCTTGGGTTTAAACAATAGATTACTATACACACATACTCACTCACAAAAGGAGGTCGGTCCATTGATGATATAGAAAACCGGAATGCTGTAGACGTATCCAGATAATTTTTTTTCAGGCATGTTTTAAACCTATACTAACAAAAAACTTACTGATACTGTGATTAATCCCTTGTAAAGGAACAAAGACAGATTGTTTTAGAATTTACTGATTGCATGTCTCTTGTAAAGGAACATGACTAATTACAAGCAAATATGATAAGCATTGCGTATCAAAACAACTCAGGGAATTACCTAATTCTTTTTACTGAAGCGTGCTGCCTGATGCACATTAATTTTATTAATTGCATAAACAAACATTTTCGTATCTAGAAACAATAATAACAAAGTGAACAGGCAATAAGAAGATAAAATCAAAATCTAGGTAGATATGGCACAGAAACAGTTTTACAATGATAAATTACGGGGACTTTTTTAATAACAATACAATATATTATTAAAATTATGTTGTGAAGAAAATTTAAATAAAAATGTTTGAGAGGGAATAAATAGAAGGCAAATACTTATAAGTTGCTAGGTTTTAGCTTTTAGCAAAGATCGTCGACGAGCACATAAAACTAATTTTTTATTCCTCTGGAAGAAAAGTACTTTATGTCCTTTTTTGTACCTCACCCAATTTGTGTACAAAGTTTCGAGATGACCGGTTGAGTTAAGGTCTGAAATGGTAGCAAACAAACAAACACACTCACATTTGCATTTATAGTATAAAATTAGGATGTGTGATACACATAATCTTAATTTAATATAATTTAATTATGTCATGACCTCATGACATAACAATAATACAATTTTTGAACAGCGTTTCAAGGACAATATATATGCCGTGTGCACACTTTTACAATATACAGGTCTGCAGAGAGTCTAAACAATAACCCGATTTATTCTGCGAAATGCCGATAAGTAATCCCGCCGACCTGTACATTGCTCACATCTATTACATGTGTGCCAAAACAACATTAACAATAATATTACAAAAGAAATACAGTTCACTACATAAAAAAATACAACAATTTATCTAGAAATATAAAATTTTATTTTTTTAATTGTTTAATTTTTATTGTTACAGATAAAGTTCCGGACGACCCAAAAATCACATACATTTCAAATGACGTCGAAGTAGCTCAGGGCCAACCGGCAAGGTTGTTTTGTGAAGCTTTTGTAGGTAAGTAACATAGAATATACGCAATTACTCCCAAAATAGTCGAAAATTCTCGGAAGCTTTTAGGTAGACACGTTTACAACCCATTCACATGTTTTAGATATTTAGATGATGTTTGAAAAGATAATTTTATATTCATATAAGTATAAATAAAAACTAGATGAATTAACCGAATGCTGTTTTGTTGTATTTTGATTGTATTTATTTGTCTAATGTCAAATTCGTAAACATGTCATAATAAAGTGGTGAAATAATGTCCTTAATTAATGGAAACTAATATAAATTGTAAACTAATAGATTCGTTCGATCTACTATTATAAATACGAATATGAGTTTGTTTGTTTGCTACTATTTCACGCCTGAACTACTCACTCACTCATTATAAAATTTTATACACATAATGTGAGGGGTACAGAAAAGGATATAGGGTACTTTTTCATCATCATAAGGTCGTCAGTCCTAAGACTGGTTGGACACGTACCTCCACTCTTTCCTATTCTGAGCTACTCTTTGCATTTCCCTAAAACTAGAACAACCCACATCCTTACCTATTCGCGAACAGTAATCTAATCTAGGTCTACCTCTACCCNCGATTACAGATTCGGAAAAGACAGTCCTTTTTTACCTGTTATTATCCTCAGCATGAAATGGTGTAATTATGGTAGTAAACGAAGGATTGGCTATATGTTATTATAGAAAAACAAGATAGTAAGTACTAATTAATTTTTTATTTTGTTCTTCTTCTAACTCTAACTATCTTTATGTTTTGTGGAATTCCTATTCCTCTACTCCGAAATTCTATATGTGCCCCTGACATTGTAGGTAATTGTTAATTAATTGACTATTGATGAATTATTTAAAACACACGTCGGTGCTTTTCGTAATATCAACCGTAGAATACCCATGTAGTAAGCGCCAAACATCCATATCGGAAATAATCTGGGAAACCAGTAATTATACTGATGTAAGCACTATTATTAAAGATTTATTATCTAGCAACTTGAAAGATTTACACGGTTAATGAGCATGTTTTTTCTTAATATTCTCTGTTAACACAGAATTTAAAGTATTAGTTATATATTCATAAACGACTCCCATCCACCGGAGTGTGTGTTATAAATATATTCAGCTACAATATTTACATATAAATCAAACCGAGCCACATTATCAATTACCTACCAAATTTAAATAAACATCATCTATATATTTAATCGAGTTAATTAAAAGTAAAAGCAAATTAGAGCCTTCGTTTTTTCAATTATAAATAAGTACATATCTACTTCAGTAAATTATATAAACAAAGACAACCGAATAGACTCTACACGTCAAAAGATGGTGATTATTAATTAAACATTCAGATTATACTGCAACATCTTGGATATTGGAACTAGGCCAAAGACGTCTTAATAGTCAGGTAACTTCACAATTTTCTATTTTGGGTGAAAATAGCATCACAAAATTGTGATAGGTACGTCACAACTACCTATATGGTGATAAGTGATATTCTGATATTCATCCCCTTTTTATTTTAAAATTTACTGGACATGAAATTGAAACAAACTGTTACCGTTTTACACAAACAATATAGATAACCAAGTTCTGGGCATTTTCCATTTCTAGAAATAGATGCTCGAAACATATTACGTATTTTATTTTCAGTCGGGATAGATTGCAAAATATTATCTTTTATTTTTTAATTAAGCTAATTAATAAACTGATACCCACTTAATTAGTCGGACTTGACTAATTTTTAGCATATTGACGGTATATGCGTACGTAAGCATGGAAGTACGATGAGTTATTATAGAAGAAGTTGAAGGAGGTGAAGTTCCAAGAAAAACCTTTTTTATTAAGGGTTGATGCATTTTAAAACTCACGCGAATTTCATCCATCCATCCATCGTGACGCTTGATTTTTGCTTTTGTATTCCTTCCTTCCTATCCCTTCTCTTTTGATTCCTACTTCAAGTCTCCCATGGTTTCTTGCATACGCATAGTATTATCTGTTGCCGTGGGCAGAGGTCGTTGAGCCCTCACTCCCTTTACCTTCCTGCCATCGCCCTTTACTACACTTCCCTAACACGTAGGGCGTGGTTTTTAACACTTATAGCCAAGTGATTAAGAAACCCGGCATCAAATCATAACCCCCTTTCAGTGCTTCAATTCTAAACTAATACTATCGCAAAAAAAGTCCTTTTCTAATCGATTACACCAAAATATGTGGTACATATAACACTATTTTGATGGCCTATTATCTCCACAGATAAATAAATATAGAATTAACAGTTTTTGTAGGTAAGCACATAATATTTTTTTCATTAAAACCATTATGGTACCCGACGGATCCGGTCCTTTTTTTAGGATCTAGTCGGATACCGGATAATGATGCCGGGTACCAAATTCTGCAAATATATGCTGTGAAGCTAGTTAGTTACCATTCATTGGAATGAATACCTACCGAAATTCCCTAATTTAATATTTACTTTGAGGTTTGTTAATTGTTTCTAATTTTCGAAACTCAAAAAGGTTTACTTTCCGTTGGTAAAGTTAATAAAGCGATAAAATCGATATTTTTTTGTGAACATTATCTGACATCTAATAAGAATTAATTTTGAGATGAAAACCAAACACTCGAACCTCCTGAAGTAATAAATAGTACGACACTCAGGAACGTTAGTCCTAATTAACTGTGTAATAAGGTATTTTTAGATGTGGTCGTATTTATGAACTAAAATTAGTATCTACGGCGATTTTTTGTCAGAGCCGCCTTTGCCGAAGTTCAAAGCATGTCTCCTTTGAATATAAAATTAACTAACTTTAATGTTTTCATTTATGAAGCTAACGTTAGCTCCGAGCTCGGGCCTCAAAATTGTGAAATCACATCTCAATTTCACTTCAGTATATGCATAGGTAAGGTAAGTAAGAGGAATACCCATCAGCTGCTAGCTACATCTTATCAACAGAACGTAATCCCTTTATATGCTTAAACAATTTCTTTTCATCAGATTTTTAAAATCCAGCTAGAATACTTTTGATTACAATTTTAAGAACTCGTAGTTTTGCAACAAAAATAGTTAAGAAGAGCGTAAATAATCAATTCTATTATGAGCGGTTATATCGATAGTTTCAACCAAAAGAATTAGGTAGTTTTTAAGAAAGATTGGCTATACACTACAAAAGAAATTTACAACGAATATTAGGTAAATGATATGGTATATAAACTCTGCAATATTTCGATTACAGATTCGGAAAAGACAGTCCTTTTTTACCTGTTATTATCCTCAGCATGAAATGGTGTAATTATGGTAGTAAACGAAGGATTGGCTATAGTCTAAAATCAGCCTTAATTACCAAACGCAAAACTATTAAAGACATCCGGCTTTCAGCTTTATTTTAAAAACTTTTGAAAAGTTCGCTTCTCAGTAAAATTGTTTAAAGATTGATGTGTTGTTAGGGCATGAATGTTAGTCGATAATAAAAAAACAAAAACAAAGTTTTAACGTCAAGTAGCATCGTGGTTTTGTAAATTACTTTATATAGCATGAAAATGAAGCTTTTCAGAAGTCGACCATTTGGCTTGACTTGCTTTCCCATCTTTGCTATTTGACTTGATGACAAGCAATTTCAAGCTACTTGATATTACTTAATTATCCTAAAGAAATGCAATTTAAAAATTTCTTTCATCTTAAATGGTTGGTCTACTTTCAATATGANGAGTTTTCCTAGGTCAATAGTGGTGTTTGCAATATCACCGGCTGCTAAAAACATTGGCAAATATTCAGTTTTGTTTTAGCTTCTTCTAATACATAAAGTTTTTAAAATCGTTTCTAAACACTATTTAATTACCTACATCTATTAACACACTTAATCTCTAATAATTTTCACGGCTGGCGTACATCGACTCGATATCGTCTCCTGGGTTGTTTTTACCGTGGTCTATAGAATTTCGCAATTCAAAGCATTTCTTTAGTTGTAGATTCATTTAATATGTGAAGTTATTGAAATCCTTTCTATAGGCTTTTTAGTTATCTAACACACCCATCTTATAGTTTTTACGGTCGGCGTACATCGATTCAATATCGTTTTCTGGGCTGTTTTGCCGTGGTCTAT